TTGTAGTTTTAATACTGTCATAACAAGGACTAGGAATAGCTCAACTCTAATAACTAGATCAAACATCTCGTGACAACTATTGTAGTTTTAATACTGTCATAACAAGGACTAGGAATAGCTCAACTCTAATAACTAGATCAAACATCTCGTGACAACTATTGTAGTTTTAATACTGTCATAGCAAGGACTAGGAATAGCTCAACTCTAGCCACTAGGTCAAACATCACGTGACAACTATTATAGTTTTAATACTGTCATAACAAGGACTAGGAATAGCTCAAATCTAGCCACTAGATCAAACATCTCGTGACAACTATTGTAGTTTTAATATTGTCATAACAGGGACTAGGAATATCTCAACTCTAATAACTAGACCAACATCTCGTGACAATTATTGTAGTTTTAATACTGTCATAACAAGGACTAGGAATAGCTCAACTCTAATAACTAGATCAAACATCTCGTGACAACTATTGTAGTTTTAATACTGTCATAGCAAGGACTAGGAATAGCTCAACTCTAATAACTAGATCAATCATCTCGTGACAATTATTGTAGTTTTAATACTGTCATAACAAGGACTAGGAATAGCTCAACTCTAGCCACTAGATCAAACATCTCGTGACAATTATTGTAGTTTTAATACTGTCATAGCAAGGACTAGGAATAGCTCAACTCTAATAACTAGATCAAACATCTCGTGACAATTATTGTAGTTTTGATACTGTCATAACAAGGACTAGGAATAGCTCAACTCTAACAACTAGATCAAACATCTCGTGACAACTATTGTAGTTTTAATACTGTCATAACAAGGACTAGGAATAGCTCAACTCTAATAACTAGATCAAACATCTCGTGACAACTATTGTAGTTTTAATACTGTCATAACAGGGACTAGGAATAGCTCAACTCTAATAACTAGATCAAACATCTCGTGACAATTATTGTAGTTTTAATACTGTCATAGCAAGGACTAGGAATAGCTCAACTCTAATAACTAGATCAAACATCTCGTGACAACTATTGTAGTTTTAATACTGTCATAACAAGGACTAGGAATAGCTCAACTCTAATAACTAGATCAAACATCTCGTGACAACTATTGTAGTTTTAATACTGTCATAACAGGGACTAGGAATAGCTCAACTCTAATAACTAGATCAAACATCTCGTGACAATTATTGTAGTTTTAATATTGTCATAGCAAGGACTAGGAATAGCTCAACTCTAGCCACAAGGTCAAACATCACGTGACAACTATTATAGTTTTAATACTGTCATAACAAGGACTAGGAATAGCTCAACTCTAGCCACTAGATCAAACATCTCGTGACAACTATTGTAGTTGTAATACTGTCATAGCAAGGACTAGGAATAGCTCAACTCTAGCCACTAGATCAAACATCTCGTGACAATTATTACAGTTTTAATACTGTCATAACAAGGACTAGAATTACCTCAACTCTAATAACTAGATCAAACATCTCGTGACAATCATTATAATTTTCATACACAACTGATCGTACAGTTTAAAATGGAACAAAATAAGACAGAATAATTGATCAAATGTTTAAAAAACAAGCTGTTAAAAAATAAAGGTATCATATCAGACGAGTAGCTTAAATGCGGGGCGAAGGTCTCAATTGAACGAATAATGCTGGAGGGCGCGGCTTAGCAACCATCCAATGCGCAACGATCCAATGCGAAAATTTAAAATCACATTTGGATATAATGCGCGTGAGTGCTTACAAATTTGCTTTTGGCGGAGATATAAACTGCGCCTTCTGACTTATTATATCAGCGTTTAAAATACATTGGTTCAAGGTAATTGGGGCTTTTCTAAAAAATGTCATGAATCATCCATGTCATGAGGGGGCTTTTTAAAAATTGGTTAGAGCAAGGCTCTAGTAGAAGTTTTGTAGCGCGATGCACTACTGGGCCGCGCCGCGCATCAAATAATGATTCTCGCAACCACACCTTCGAGAAGAAAGCGGCGCGCGCTACTTCGAAGAAATTTAGACGAGTAACATCCGTCAATAGATTGGCAAGATGCACCAGTGGGTCTCAACGGGCCGAGATGCGCATGAAAATGATTGACATCGTGAATCAAGTAATAGTTACATTATTATACTAATAGACATTAGATCAATCGTTCACATAGCCATGTGTATAATACGCGTACTATGTACTATACTGCGTGATGCGCTTGTTTCACAAGTAGAATATCCTTTGCCGCCTTCGGCGGTCGCGCGCTACTGCAAGCGAGAGGGCTCTGGTTAGACTTAGAGCAAGATCAATCGCAAAATTACATGGTTAGGTGAAGTAAAGACTAATATAACATATAAAAAGATCAGTGCATGCAAAATATATCAAAAATTTAAAATAACACTAGCATTAAGCATAAATTGAAAATTAAACTCAAAGTGAATTTAATATAAGTTTTAATATAAAATGTATAATGTGATGTTAACGGGTGATACTCGTAAAATATTTTTTCCAAATATAAGAGACCGTCAACGAGTCCAACTAGAGCGGTTGGATTCGTCGACGGTCTTAATGCTTAAATGGTCGAATATTTGGAACTTGATTGACGATGTTAACCCTTCCAGATTGTTGCTCTGCGAATTAACAAAGCAACGAATGCTAGTTTGCGCGGCGTGTCGAAGCGGTGAACCCAGGAAACCTTACTGGCTGGAGCCTAACTTTGAAAGTAAAAAAGATAGAAACGTCTGGTTTTCAATAAAATGTTCGCCTTGTAAAAATAACGTTCCCCCAGGGGGAAAATTAAAAACAACGTAGATTTTGAATTATCGCGAAAAGTCATATTTTAGGTCATATAAAACTGCACAGCTTTAACTTTGCCGATTGTTGTTCTCTGATTGGCTTAATCGTATCACGTGGTACGCGGTACAATTGCATCTTTGGAATGTTTGAAGCGTGCAAATGCAATGAACTCACGAGCGCGCGCGGAGCTCAACAAGCTGTGAAAAGGCGATCACCCTGTAGTAATATCGCTAGCCGGTAAGGTCTGCTGGGAAGTCCTCCAAATTGGGAACAAATGTTTCAAGAGTATCGCTCGTTAAATGTTAACATTAAAGTTTGTGCGCGCTGATATTGTAATATTGTTAATAAAATTGACAATATCATATAATAGTATAATGTTTGTAGGTTTATAACCTACCAGGACGCGCGCCGAGTTGGACTCGTCAATATTTGTTCACGAGTACCACCCGTTAATATAATGTTAATAATATAATGTGCGGCGCGCAGCACGCTACATAACAGTGTACAGTCTCCTGTTAGTATATTTTTAATTTCGCATTGGATAAACCTAGACCACTCCTAGCTGTAGACGAAATGAACTGGCTGTTAGAATGTTTTTATTTTGGCAAGTGCTTGAACGCTCGGTGTCCGGTGCCATCAACATACCCAGACCAGCAGTTGCTTCTTTTCCTTCTCATGTCGTTATTTTAGCTTTTTAGGTTATCTTAGTTTGTGCTACCTTATACATTAGCACAACTAGAAAATAATAAAAGTTGCCATTTCCCAGTAGGCCCGCTACACCCATACAGAGCTTTCTTATGGGACACTACCATGGCATGGCCATATTTTCGTAAGACATAAAAATAAATTCCTAGAAATCTGTTTCTCTATCTAGTATCTTTCCAAATTTCATCGGGTTTTCTGTCTTGGAAATTAAGTCCTCGGATTTTCACTTTTCAGTCCTGCTCTCACAACGGGAATGCTGTGTTGAACTGATTTACATAATGATCTGCATATTATGTTCATAATGTATTGACAATTTTTACTCAACTTTAATTGACCGGTTGATTTTTGATAGAATGGTTGTAAAATCTTGTCTCTTTTTAAAAATCGCCATTGTATCTAGATTCTAGAACCCATTTGCTTATGCCTCATTTTTTGAGATCATAAAAACTTGATGTGTGTAGGTATTTTCAGTCTGATTTTGATTATTTGATTAATATTGCCCCCTGACCGATAAAACAGCAATTGTGATTTGATTACTTACATGCAATGATTCGATCAAAGTATCTTCTTTCACACTCTTGTTTGTTATCAGAAAATGTATAATTAAGGAGACTAATTGAAAATTTTGGATACTCTCTAGTTGACTTACTGGCTACCAGGCTACTGTGTACTGATCGAGAACATTCTGTCGTGTCGCAATACTTACGTACTCACTTGACATTTGCGCCGATATTAGAAACCTAGCAGCGCATGTTATTCATAAAACAATAAATTAAAAGCTTGTCCACCAGAGGTAAGTCACTCAGTTCACAATTTGCTGCTCTACCTAATTAGAGCCAGTACTGTATGTAGTAAAGTAGTAAAGTACCAAGTGTGCTCAGTTCGCTGTTGTAGTCTTCTAAATTGCTCTACCAGTAGTCTGCTTTTCCTGACTTCCTGACTTATTATGTGCAGCTCAACTGTGTAATTGCTCTCTGTATACGTGTATACTGGCTGTATATACTAGCCTTGTGTACTTTGTTGTGTTGTTTGTTCTTTTGTTTATTGGTATATTCAGTGTAGTTAGTAGTGGCAAAGTAACATGAACGTGGAAATTTTATAAATTAATTGATTTATGATTTTTTAATAAAACACAATAGACATTTCATTTCAATTTCACAATTGAATATGTCTACGAATGATTTAAATTTTAATTCGTTAATTTGTTATGTTGTGTAATCAACAATTTGTGGCATTTAAACTGACAATTAGCAAGCTGTTCAAAACGACGTAGTTAGCGCGTGTAAGGGAAACGAAGCCTTGTATGTTCTACATCAATTGTCTTGCTGTTTTGGCACAAACAGTTTATTTATATCACATTATCACGTACTGCTACAGTTTATTATTCAGATCTACTTGTTCAAATCTGTCGCCTATGTAATATGTTGCTTGTCCTGGTAGTACATACATCTATATCTCCAAGCAAATTAAACTGATAAAAAGCATACATTTGAAGATTAATTTACATTTGCAGATTAATTTACATTTGCAGATTAATTTCTAAAAGTATTCGCCAGTTTAACTCATCTAAAATTACCAGGATTTTATGATATAACAAAAATGTGAGATAATAAACGCTGAACAAATCTGCATCTCAAGACTGCCGCTGTTTTTAGTACACGTGAGTTGAATTAATTTAGAATTAAAATTAACGGACAGATTATTTTATATACAAAAAAACCTGTGTTTATAGGGATTAGCTGTAAAGTAGCAGTTTTTTAGTTTAAAACACCCTACAGCAAGTAAATGTTAGTTGTTACATAACTGTATTTACGTATTTATAATACAGAAATTGTGTTGAAGCTGTAGTTTAGGGTGTGGACTCATTGGCTGTGTGAGCTAATCATGTATTATAAATCAGATGGCTTGTTAAGGGTGTGTATAATGTATAAACTATAATCCCTATAATGTATTATAACGTATTCTACAATTGTATACTGTATATTATTACAGGAGGAGGGGTTATGGGCAGAGGGAAGTTGGTTACAACATGCTGCTGACACTACAAGGATTCTGGACCGTTGCTCTCTACTTCGGTCTATTAGGTACAGGCTGTTTGAACCTTAAAATTAACATCATACTTTTAAATCGGAAATAAGTTTAGCTTCTGAAATGTTACTGTTTTTCCTGGAGTTTGACTATTAATTAAACTGGTACACCTTTAACCTTTTACTGTTTAACTTTAATAGTTTCTTAGTGTTATCAATGTTATCAACTGATGAAATCGGTGTCTGAGATTGTTTTCAGTTTGCTGACTTATACCTGTAATCTGAATGTCGTAAATATAATATGATAAGAGATTGCTATTTTTAACTGATCTCATACACCTATTTAATGTGACAATACTATAAGTTATATTAGTTAAAAGTAAAGTATAACAATATAGTCCCTTATTTCCCAGGTATAATATGGTTACCACGTTACTACGTGATTCCGACCAAACTGAGGTTGTGGCCTTCTTACTGGCTGTATAGCACCTTCTCCACCAACACTCTGCCACCTCTCAGGTTAGTACTGTGGTTAGTACTGTGTGGTTAGTACTGTGTGGTTAGTACTGTGTGGTTAGTACTGTGTGGTTAGTACTGTGTGGTTAGTACTGTGTGGTTAGTACTGTGTGGTTAGTACTGTGTGGTTAGTACTGTGTGGTTAGTACTGTGTGGTTAGTACTGTGTGGTTAGTACTGTGTGGTTAGTACTGTGTGGTTAGTACCGTGTGGTTAGTACTGTGTGGTTAGTACTGTGTGGTTAATACTGTGTGGTTAGTACTGTGTGGTTAGTAATGTGTGATTAGTACTGTGTGGTTAGTACTGTGTTGTTAGTACTGTGTGGTTAGTACTGTGTGGTTAGTACTGTGTGGTTAGTACTGTGTGGTTAGTACTGTGTGGTTAGTACTGTGTGGTTAATACTGTGTGGTTAGTACTGTGTGGTTAGTACTGTGTGGTTAGTACTGTGTGGTTAATACTGTGTTGTTAGTACTGTGTGGTTAGTACTGTGTGGTTAGTACTGTGTGGTTAGTACTGTGTGGTTAATACTTTGTGGTTAGTACTGTGTGGTTAATACTGTGTGTTAGACGTTAGTGCTACGAATATTATATAAATAATTTGAAAATGTAGTAACTTAGTGACACATCAACGAATCGTATTAACATCGGTTGTTAAGTATTCTACCTACAAATTCATACAGTCTGTAGATATTCGTGTTGCGATGTGAATATAGTGTCTTAGTACCTACTCGAAATGATGTACACTTGACTGTCTAGTGTAGACTGTAATGTTAACAGTGTAGAGTTAACAATGTATACACTGCACTACAGAAAACTAGCTACACGCGTGTGTAATTACTCTACCAAACATATGTTATTTATAGCTGCTCAGTGTAGGAAACAGTTAGTTAGCGATAGTCTGCGGATTGTTATGGAATGTTGCACATGTAAGTATTATTATAGTAATTAGTATACAACAGCTTTAACTGCTCACAGTTACTACATACTTAATTAATAAACTACTTATTAGACTGTGTTCTTAATTGCTACATTTTATAATTTAAGTGAAAAATAGTACTGAGTCTAAGAATTATGGAATTAAAAGCGCCACTAAGTAAAACTTCTTGTCTGAGGTGAAGGATGTTAAGCTAAGTTTACCTGTCCCACCATTGAGAGGACCTATTATCAAACTGTCACATGTTACGTGCCTATACAAATCAAACTTAGATGCTTTATTTACTCTAATTTGTTGTATCTCCGTATTTTGTAGTATCGTGTCAAGAAAACATGAAGGATGACGAATTAATGATTTTAGAGGGTTAAATAGGCCCTTCAGAAGGAAAATGTCGTAAAATTTGCTGCTGTATCTGTAAAGGATATTCTAGAGGGTTTTTTGTTGAGGGTTTTTTGGATGTTGTAAAGGGTTTTTGGTTGTTTTTGTGGACTTATTTCCCGATTTTGGGGGACGATCTGGTAATATTTAACTCATATTATATCCTGTGCTGCTGAGATGCTTTGTTGCTTCATTCTTAGATGATAATGTCTGTATAAAATAGTAGAATTGTAGCTTGTTACATAAAACATCAAGAAATACAACGTTTAGTGCAGTCCGGACGTGGTCACGCTGTTTCTTATTAATGCTTTTCATGCAAACAAGTTAAAACGAATCTTTTATGTCATGTATCCTGGGTTTATATTTTACCTGTCAAACCAGCTCTCATGTTATTATTCTTAACAAAACTGTTTTATTTGCCGAGTTAATTTATCAGTTTTGCTTCTCACGATAAAGTCTATCAACTATGGGAGAAGAACATCTTATAGATATAGAGGATGACAAGAATTCATCGCAAAAAGTTTCGTGTCAAGAAAACATGAAGGATGACGAAGAAATGATTTTAGAGGGTGAAAAAGGCCCTTCAGAAGGAACATGTTGTAAAATATGCTGCTGTATCTGTAAAGAATGTGGCAGATGCTTTAGAGGGATTTGTTGTTGCTGTTGTGGACGAGTTTGTGGACGTTTGAGCTCTATTATTTTAACTATTATAGTTGTATATTTTATTCTGGCTTTTTATGGATTAGTTTAAAATATGGAACCCGTTCTTGATGTATGTAGCTTTACTCAATATTCTGAGTGTAGAACATTTTGTTGTTATTTTGTTGTTATTTTGTTATTATTTTGTTGTTATTTTGTTGTTATTTTGTTGATCTTGTCTCCTTGTTACGATACAATGAAATGAATAAAATAGTAGACAATTTATAGCTTGTCACATCAAGAAATACAACGTTTAGTGCAGTCCGCACGTGGTCACGCTGTTTCTTATATTTTACCTGTCAAACCAGCTCTCATGTTATTATTCTTAACAAAACTGTTTTATTTGCCGAGTTAATTTAGCAGTTTTGCTTCTCACGATAAAGATCATCAACTATGAATGAGGGAGAAGAACATCTTTTAGAGGATGTTATAGATGTTATAGAGGATGACAAGAACTCATCGCAAAGGAAATGTTGTAAAATATGCTGCTGTATCTGTAAAGGATGTGGCAGATGCTTTAGAGGGATTTGTGATTGCTGTTGTGGACTTTGTACCAGAGTTTGTGGTTGTTTGAGCTCTATCGTGTCATGTATCGCTAATATTCCATGCTTCTTCCTAGTTCTCGTCATTATTGTAATTATTATAGTTGTATATTTTGTTCTGGATAGATTTGGATTAGTTTAAAATATGGAACCCGTTCTTGATGTATGTAGCTTCACTCAATATTCTGAGTGTAGAACATTTTGTTGTAATTTTGTTGTTATATTTTTGATCTTGTTACATCCTTGTTACGATACAATGAAATGAATCGGAAAGTGAACAGCGCAGACGCAATTAAAATGTTTTTTTCCGTGTCTTGTCAAGAGTTAGAATTTAAAATGAGAAGAACACTGTCAAAACACATGTGCAAAGAAGAGCTGGTAATATTTCTTACTAATTTTAACTGCTACAGCTGTTAATTAAGCTTGTCAAAGTTTGTGTGTTTAATGCTGTACTCCTCTGTAGAGATCCTCCTCCCAGAGTAAGAGGGAACTCACGTGACTTACACCGTTAATACAGATGGTAAATGGAGATGTTCTAGTTGGAAGAAGAGTCAAGAACATAACTCAGAAGGAACAAATTGTTGTGGAGGGTTGTTTTGTAAGAAACTGGGGGGATGTTGTAAGAGTTGCTGCGGAGGGTGCTGTAAATGCTACGAAGGTGTTGCACAGTGTATTGTTAGGATATTGCCAGTCTTAGCTGCACTTGCTGTCCTTTACTTCTTCTATTTCAACTTCTCCAGATGATATAGTCAGACAACATTGCAGAACTTAGTGGAATGTTGGGATTTTATGTACATCATATTATGCTTTAAATACATGTTTTAAGAGAACAAATTTTGTTTACGAGGAGAGGAAAGTTGTCGAAGTTTTTATTACTTTATTCGCTTGTTTAGTTTGGTATTGCCCCGTTCGAGTATAAAAACAAATATTGTAAAACTAATTGTCGTTGATAAACTTCATATTATCAAAAATAAATAAAATAATTAATTATACAAGTACATGAACAGTTGCTAATTGTAATGCGAGGGTTATAAGTATAACGATATTCCAACCTGTTCTGTTGTTGGTGGCGGAAGGGGCTCAGGGGTTTAAATTCTGGGGCCTTTTCGGGAAAATCCTAAAATATCCAAAATTTTGTACGCCCAATATTCTCAGAATTGTGCTCGTTGTTGGTTTTAGAGAATCTTAATCATTTTATGGTGGATACCACAATGGGCTTCTTGAACAGCCTAGAGATTTATCTGGCTTGAAATAGTGAAATAAAACGTTAGTTCCCGATTTTGGGGGACGATCTGGTAATATTTAACTCATATTATATCCTGTGCTGCTGAGATGCTTTGTTGCTTCATTCTTAAATGATAATGTCTGTATAAAATAGTAGAATTGTAGCTTGTTACATAAAACATCAAGAAATACAACGTTTAGTGCAGTCCGCACGTGGTCACGCTGTTTCTTATATTTTACCTGTCAAACCAGCTCTCATGTTATTATTCTAAATCAAACTGTTTTATTTGCCGAGTTAATTTATCAGTTTTGCTTCTCACGATAAAGATCATCAACTATGAAGGAGGAAGAAGAACATCTTATAGAGGATGACAAGAACTCATCGCAAAAAGTTTCGTGTCAAGAAAACATGAAGGATGACGAATTAATGATTTTAGAGGGTGAAAAAGGCCCTTCAGAAGGGAAATGTTGTAAAATATGCTGCTGTATCTGTAAAGGATGTGGCAGATACTTTAGAGGGATTTGTGATTGCTGTTGTGGACTTTGTGCCAGAGTTTGTGGTTGTTTGAGCTCTATCGTGTCATGTATTGCTAAAGTTTTTGTTCTCCATGCTTCTTCCTAGTTCTCGTCATTATTGTAATTATTATAGTTGTATATATTTTTCTGGCTAGATTTGGATTAGTTTAAAATATGGAACCCGTTCTTGATGTATGTAGCTTCACTCAATATTCTGAGTGTAGAACATTTTGTTGTTATATTTTTGATCTTGTTACATCCTTGTTACGATACAATGAAATGAATCGGAAAGTGAACAGTGCAGACGCAATAATTATAATTTTTTTCCGTGTCTTGTCAAGAGTTAGAATTTAAAATGAGAAGAACACTGTCAAAACACATGTGCAAAGAAGAGCTGGTCATATTTGTTACTAATTTTAACTGCTACAGCTGTTAATTAAGCTTGTCAAGGTTTGTGTGTTTAATGCTGTACTCCTCTGTAGAGATCCTCCTCCCAGAGGAAGAGGGAAGTCACGTGACTTACACCGTTAATACAGATGGTAAATGGAGATGTTCTAGTTGGAAGAAGAGTCAAGAACATAACTCAGAAGGAACACATTGTTGTGGAGGGTTGTTTTGTAAGAATTTTTTATAATTTAGTCGTGATTTAGTATTGGTGAGGTGACTTTCATGCGACTTTCGCCATCCAGCTGGTATCATTGCGATGTGGCC